CAGTTGCTTTTCTATACACTAGCGTTACCAATCAGAAAAAGAAATTAAGAAAACAATTCCATTTACAATAGTATCAAGAAGAATAAAATACATAGGAATAAATTTAACAAAAGGAGTACAAAACTTGTACTCTAAAAACTACAAAACATGTTGAAAGAAATTAAAGGACATAAATAGAAAGAAATCCCATGTTGATAAATCAGAAGATTTGACATTGTTAAGATGATAATACTACACAAATTTATCTAGAGATTAAATAATATACCTATCAAAATCCTAGCTGGTTTCTTTGAAGAACTGACAAGCTGATCCTAACATTCATATGGAAATTCAAGGGACCTACAACAGCTAAAACAATCTTTATCTAAAAAGATCAAAGTTGGAGGACTGGCACCTCCTGGTTTCAAAACTTACCACAAATCTACCATAATAAAGACTGTGTCATATGGGCATAATGATAGACATATAGATCAATGGAATAGAACTTAGAGTCCAGAAATAAACCCTTATATTTTTGGTCAATTAATTTTTGAGAAGGGTGCCAAGAGAATAAAATGGGGAAAAATAATCTTTCTAACAAATAGTACTGGGATAACTAGATATACAAATGCAAAAGAATTAATCTGAACCCCTTCCTCACACCATATTTAAAGATTAAAAATGGATCAGAGACCTAAATATAAGAAGCAAAACTATAAAATTCTTAGAATAAAACAGGTGCAAATCTTCATGACCTTAGATTTGGCAATGGATTCTTAGATATGACACTAGAAGCAGAAGCAACAAAAGAAAAAAATAGATAAACTGGAATTCATCAAAATTAAAAACTTTTATGAATTAAAAGGGCACTATCAAGTAAGTGAAAAGACAACCTACATAATGGGAGAAAATATCTGTCAATCATATATCTGACAAGGGACTTGTATTTAGAATATATAAAGAACTCTTACAACTAAACAATAAAAACACAAATAACCCAATTAAAAAGTGGGCAAAGGATTCAAATAGATATTTCTCCAAAGAAGATATATATGGCCAATACGCATATGAAAAAGATGCTCAACATCATTAGTCCTCAAGGAACTGCAAATCAAAACCACAATGAGATACTACTTCACACCCACTAGGATGGCTAGAATAAAAAAGACAGACAATAACAAGTGTTGACAAAGATGTGGAGAAACTAGAACCCTCATATATTGCTAGTGGGAATACTAAATGGGGCAGCCACTTTGAAAAACAGTTTGGCAGTTCCTCAGAATGCTAAACATAGACCCAGCAATTCCACTCCTAGGTATATACTCAAGAGAAATGAAAACATTTGTCCACACAAAAACTCGTACATGAAGATTCATAGCAGCATTATTCACAAAAGCCAAAAGTGGAAATAATCCAAATGTCCATAAACTGATGGATAATACATGTATGGAATGTGTGGAATATATGGAATATTATTCAGCAATATAAAGAAATGAAGTAATGATACATGCTATAACATAGATGAACCTTGAAAAATTACGCTAAATGAAAGATGAAATACATTGGTGAAAGTGGTTATTTGACAGTTTAAAGATTCAGAAATACAAAATAAAAAGAAGATAATAGAAATATTTTTCTGAGAAAAGAACTGCTCACATTTTAATTTGAGACAAATGTATAAACCACCAACAACTGCTATGTAAAAGAGAAAACTGTCCCAAAACATTTCTATTAGCAAGTGACTGTCATACTGATCTGCCAAGTAAATGAACTGCTATCGCATTGATCTTCATTATCTTCTTTACCACCAAGATCGCAGGCTGCTGAAGTGAAGTCTACCCAGAAAGGGTATGTATCTGAAAAGGTACAACCCAGACTGTTTTCAAAAGCCAAATATCAACAGTTTTTAGATTCTCTTCTACACCTCCATCCTATTTTTATTAATGTGGCTATGACAGAGTTGACTAAGTTTTATTAATTTATTACAGGGCTATTTTGTTAAGGATAACAGAAATACCAATAATGTTCTCAATAGTTTTCCATTTTTTGTTTGTGTGTCATCTGGCCTAAATCTGTTCAGCGTGAGAAATCTGAAATCATAGGCTATTTTGAAATTTAATCAAAGATCACTCTTCTCTAAACTATAAGCTTCATGAGGGCAAAGAACACATTTATTTTGTTCACTACTGTATCTCCAGTGCCTGGCACAAAATCAGCACTCAATATTTACTAAATTAATAATCAGAAGAATAGCTAACCCAGGAGTTACCAAACTTAAAAGCACATAAGAATTATCTAGGAAGCTTATTAAGACATAGATTGCTGGACTCCACCTCAGCCTTTCTGATTCAGTAATCCTAGGGTAGCGACCAAGATTTTGCATTTCTAATAAGTTCCCAGGTGACACTGATGCTGCCTAATACAGTACCTGGTGCATAGTAGGCATGTAATAAATTATATTAGTTGAAAGAATAAATTAATAAACAGGTGTTTAACTATATTTTTACATTGAATTATGCTTTCTGAAATGAAAAAGAGGTTGGAGTGGAACCCCCTTTCCTGCCTTTTTGGGAAAGATCTCACATCCATGCATTAAGTTGCTTTATACTTATTTTAGTTCTTGATTGACTTTGTTTTCCTTTTCAGTCAATTAGTATATGTCGTGATTATATAACATATACTCAAAGCACTCATGAATGGCATATAATATAAGGTGACAACAGTTACCAGAAGAGATGGTGACATCAAATCTATACCCAGGAGATGACCACCATTGGGCTATAAAAAAAATGAAGAACATATAATTTTAAAAGGGATGAACAACCATTATTTGTGTTTTCAAAAGTGATTAGTAGAGTGAAATTCTGGACTATTCAAGTAAGTAGCCAGCATGTTATCATTAAAAAGCTGATGACATAGCTTTACTCTACAAGTCATGATAAAGGGTAAAATAAATAAAACTACCCTAGTGGCATAATGGTTAAGCGTTTGGCTGCTAACCGAACGGTTGGGGCTTCAAATCCTGCTGGTGGCTTCACCGAAGAAAGACCTAGTGATCTGCTTCAGCAAAGATTACAGTCAAGAAAACCCTATGCAGCAGTTTTATCTGTCACATGAGATCACTGAGTCAGAATAGACTCAACAGCATCTAACAACAACAACCTTACAAATATATTTTTTCCCCATAATCAGGAAAGAGAGCACTGGTGAATGATAGAGAAAAGGGTTTAGAACCACACAAAATACAGATAAGCAGGTAAAGATGGAAATCAATATTTAGAAATAGTAAGGAAAATTTAGGGCTCTCAATTCTCTAAATTATAATCCTAATGATTCTGGCTCCCTTGAAGACCTATGAGCAGTGGATGTGTAGGGGAAAAAAAAAAAAGATACAGCAAAGTAGGTTGAGGACTAAGGTGCACCTGACCCAAGCCATGGTATTTTCAATCGCCTCATATGCATATGAAAGCTGGACAATGACTAAGGAAGACCGAAGAAGAATTGACACCTTCGAATTATGGTGTTGGCGAAGAATACTGAATATACCATGGACTGCCAAAAGATCGAACAAATCTGTCTGGGAAGATGTACAGCCAGAATGCTCCTTAGAAGGGAGGATGGTGAGACTTTGTCTTCCGCGCTTTGGACATGTCATCAGGAGGGATCAGTCCCTGGAGAAGGACATCATGCTTGCTAAAGTAGAGGGTCAGCAAAAAAGAGGAAGACCCTCAACAAGAGGGATTGACCCAGTGGCTGCAACCATGGGCTCAAACAGCAATGATTGTGAGGATGGTGTAGGAACCAGCAGTGTTTTGTTCTGTGGTTATGAGTCAGAACAGACTTGATGGAACCTAACAACAACAATCTATCTGGAAACATGGACTTCAAGTTCTAAATATATAATGAACTTTTAAGTAATACTGTGTGACTACAAACAACTATAATATGTTTAGCCAACCACTCTCATCCAAAACAAGGATTGGTTACTAACAACATAAATCAGTTTATTCATTATTGAATGTAGTTCTTTCACCTTCCAGATAGGAAAATATGCAGATTATCCAAATTATCTGGAAAAACAACTGTAAAATGAGAACTTTTCTGATACAGGAACTTTCTTATTCTATTCCTGTTCTTGCCCTTTCATAAATATAAACATGAAAGGGTACTTAATGAGTGTATCAAATTAAGTTTACTTCAAATTAATCTTCAAGCATTGGCTCATTCTCCTCCTAAATTGTTTCTGGTTTCTTAAAAAAAAAAAACGAAATATCTATTTTCCTTTCCTCTTCTGTATGTGCATTAATACTGTATCATAAATCTATTTTGAAAGCAAGAGAGATAGTTATAAGCTTTTCATAAAAAGTGCTAACAGGATAGACCAAATCAGTACTCTTTCAGCTTGGAGGTTTTGAAATCATATGATTTCCCAGAGTTTTAAAAGGAGAAATTATGGAATTTTGTGTTAACTATTTCTTTGTGTAATGTAACAACTCATCTATTCTCACCTGCAGGGAAAACTGAGTAAGAAGCCACAATATGGTATTTAGCAACTTCCACCAACACCCAGACTGATTCAGATGTTTTTCCTATATGTGTCCACAATACCCTTCCTATGCTTTGATCATAAGGGTGATAAAAATCTAATTTTGGGACAATACCTGCAAGTAAATAAAAAATAAGGCCCTCGCTTAATCTGGTGTTCTCGCTACTATCTATTTTTAAAACCAAAAAGTCTAAGTCTAGTTTCATAAAGAAAATTAATTTCAAAATTACATGTCAATCCTAACAAGAGGAACTCAGGGTTTACTTTCTTGTTATTATAAGCAGATTATTATCCTCCTAAAATTAGCAAAATAGTTTGGTCCAGAAAAAGGAAAGCTATCTACAAAATGACTGATACAAAGGAGAATCAGACAAGCTACTTGTTATCTTATTTGTAAAAAGGCCAAGAGTACATGCATGTTATATAGAACTAAAGGGAACTTAAACTATGTTAAAGGATTCGCTAGTTGTTTCACCTGACTCTCAGTTGAGATAGACAGTCTACGAAATTCCACCTGAAAAATAAATAGTTCAAATTAAACTAGGGATATGAAACCAAAATCCCAACAAAGTCTGAATCCAAAAGAATGTTCTTAAACATGATAATATACCAGATAATCCCCCAAGTATATTACCTGCTTTATCTCACTTTTTAACTGCATGATCCCAGTTCGTTCAGTTTTGGTTGCTCCAATAGCACCAATCTCATGGATAGAAATAGCAGGGCTGACATTTGAATCAGTGGGGCGAACTACAACATGACAGATTAAAGATAAAGGATAATCAGGTTCAGATTTATCCCCCACCACATTAAAAGGACCTAGATGTATGTCCTTTTATTTTTAACTTAATAACAACAAAAGGAAACTAAAACATTGCTATTCAAACTGTGGTCTGTGGAACAGCAGCGTCAGCATCACCTGGGAGCTTATTAGTAGAATCTCAGGTTCCTACCCAGACCTAGTGAATTAGAATCTGCTGGACTCAAGAAGCACTACCTTATAACTTTGTTTTACCACTCTAAGGTCTGCTAGTGCCATCTATTCACCTGACCTTACATATTTACTTGGCCTAAGCCTAAAAGTGGAGCATGGTAAATACCACTTTTCATTTGCTCTGCTATTTCAGGTACTAGACACAAAATGTCACTCTTTATTTCACTGCCAAAACTTCAAGTGCAGGTAGAAGATTAGTCTGTGACAGATTCCTACATGTATTTGAATTTAAAGTTGAAAGGATACATTAGATGTACTGTAGCAACTACACACACACTCAACATTGGAAGCGCTACTGAATTATTGCCAATTGGAATACAAGAAAGTTTCAGATGATATAAGTTGTTAGTCTAAAGGGTTTTATGTTGTAATAGTAATATCCTAAAATGGAGACAAGATAATGAAAAGGAATGGATAAAACAATTAAAAACTAAACATAATAGCAATCAATCCACTTAGTTAATATATCATTTAAGGACAAAAAATTGAGACATACAGTGGTTTTCAAATTTTGTTTCAGAAGACAGCTTTGTTTTTAACTGTTTTATATATTAGAGTTCTATTTATTTGTGGGTAAATGGGTCTTATGATTTAAAAAAATTTTTTAAAAGCAATGAGACACTTAAAACAAACACTCTGAAACGGAAATGCAGTTATTCAACTTTACCGCTTCGCTCCACGCCAAACTCCTTGCCACTGAGAATGTGATGAAGGAGGCTCTTCATAGCTGAAGGACTGAGATTCATCAGGCCCTCTGTGGCTTCCTCAGCTAGGCAGCAGAAACATTAGGAGAGAGGGATTTCTAATTTGCCTGCCATACTCTCCCTACTTTTTCACTATTTCCTTTCTTGCTTAGAATTTCTGAGTCACTTGATTGGAAGAACAGAATTACAAAACAAATTTCTAGCACCATACCGCTTAGGTATTCATACTGTAATGAATTCTTAATTATTTAAGCACTAATTATCCATTTTATGGATTAACCAAGTCCTTGATTTCTTCTTCAACCCCCCTGGCCCCGACACACACTATTAGGGTAGTCAATAGTATCTTTATTTGAAGGTGGAAAGAATGAAGGGAGAACAATGGAACTGGAGTCCATTCAGAGAAAGGCAATGAAAGTAAGGGCCACTATATGAAGATAAACTAAAATAATTAAACTTCACAGTCTGGAAATATAGAGCTTAAAAGAGAACAGACACGAAACCATGAAATTATGAAGAAAATTGAGACAGGATAATGAACTTGTTCATCAACGTCAGAAATTTAGTAAGAGTTTACTATATGTACGTCCACCACTTGTCTGTCAGTTTGTCGTGCTGTGTTGGCTTCCATGTTGCTGTGATGCTGCAAGCTATTCCACTGGTATTTCAAATACCAGCAGGGTCACCCACGGTGGACAGGTTTCTGAGGAGCTTACAGACTTAGACAGACTAGGAAGAAGGATCTAGTGGTCTACTTCTAAAAGAATTGGCCAGTGAAAACCTTATGGACAGCAGCAGAACATTTTCTGATAAAGTGCTACAAGATGAGTCCCTCAGGTTGGAAGGCACTAAAAATATAACTGGGGAGGAGCTGCCTCCTCAAAGTAGAGTTGACCTTAACAATGTGGATGCAGTCAAGCTTTTAGGACCTTCATTTGCTGAAGTGACACAACTCAAAATGAGAAGAAACAGAAGCAAACATCCATTTGCAGAACGTGGAATGTCTGAAGTATGAATCTAGGAAAATTCAAAGTCATCAAAAATGAAATGGAATGCATAAAGATCAATATCCTAGGCATCAGTGAGCTAAAAGGGACTGGTATTGGCCATTTTGAATTGGACAATCATATGGCCTACTATGCCGGGAATGACAAATTGAAGAGGAATGGCATTGCATTCATTGTCAAAAAGGACATTTCAAGATCTATTCTGAAGTACAACGCTGTCAGTGATAGGATGATATCCATACACCTACAAGCAAGACCAGTTAATATGATTATTATTCAAATTTACACACCAACCATTAAGGCCAAAGATGAAGAAATTTAACATTTTTACCAACTTCTGCAGCCTGAAATTGATCAAACGTGCAATCAAGATGTATTGATAATTACTGGTGACTGGACTGCAAAAGTTGGAAGCAAAGAAGAAGGATCAGTAGTTGGGAAACACAGCCTTGGTAATAGAAATGACACCAGAGATCGCATGATAGAATTTTGCAAGATCAGTGACTTCTTCATGGCAAATATCTTTTTCCAACAATATAAACAGCAACTATCTGAACCTCACCAGATGGAATACACAGGAATCAAATTGACTACATCTGCGGAAAAAGACAATGGAAAAGCTCAATATCATCAGTCAGAACAAGGCCAGGGGCCAACTGCAGAACAGACCATCAACTGTTCATATGCAAGTTCAAGTGGAAGCTGAAGAAAATTAGAGCAAGTGCATGAGAGCCAAAGTACGAACTTGAGTACATCCCACCTGAATTTAGAGACCATCTGAAGAATAGCTTTGACGCATTGAACACTAATGACCAAAGGCGAGAGGAGTTGCGGAACGACATCAAGGACATCATACACGAAGAAAGCAAGAGGTCATTAAAAAGACAGGAAAGAAAGAAAAGACCAAAACGGATGTCAGAAGAGACTCTGAAACTTGCTCTTGAATGAAGAGTAGCTACCTAATGAAAGAAATGATGAAGTAAAAGAGCTGAACAAAGATCTCAAAGGGCGACCCGAGAAGACAAAGTAAAGTATTATAATGAAATGTGCAAAGATCTGGAGTTAGAAAACCAAAAAGGAAGAACATGCTCGGTATTTCTCTGAAAGAACTGAAGAAAATATTCAAGCTTCAAGTTGCAATACTGAAGGATTCTATGAGGAAATTATTAAATGATGCAGGAAGCATCAAAAGCAGATGGAAGGAATACACAGATTCACTGTACTAAAAAGAATTGGCTGATGTTCAGCCCTTTCAGGAGGTAGCATATGATCAAGAACAGATGGTACTGAAGGAAGAAGTCCAAGTTGTGCTGAAGGCATTGGCGAAAAACAAGGCTCCAGGAATTGACAGAATACCAACTGAGATGTTTCAACAAACGAATGCAGTGCTGGAAGTGCTCACTTGTCTATGCCAAGAAATTTGGAAGACAGCTATGTGGCTAACCAATTGGAAGAGTTCCATATATGCACCCATTCCAAAGAAAGGTGAATCAACAGAATGTGGAAATTATCGAAAAATATCATTAATATCACACACAAGTAAAATTTTGCTGAAGATAATTCAAAAACTGTTGCAGCAGTACATTGAAAGGGAACTGTCAGAAACTCAAGCTGGATTCAGAAGAGGACATGCAATGAGGGATATCACTGCCATTGTCAGATGGATCCTGGCTGAAAGCAGAGAATACCAGAAAGATGTTTATCTGTGTTTTACTGACCACGCAGACATTTGACTGTGTGTATCTTAACAAATTATGGATAACACTGCGAAGAATGCGAATTCCAGAACACTTAATTGTGCTCATGAGGAACCTGTACATAGACCAAGGGGCAGACTTTCGAACAGAACAAGGGGATACTGCATGGTTTAAACTCAGGGAAGGTGTGCATCAGGGTTGTATCCTTTCACCATACTTATGCAATCTGTATGCAGAACAAATAATCCAAGAAGCTGGACTATAGGAAAAAGAATGTGGCATCAGGATTGGAGGAAGGCTCATTAACAACCTGCGATATGCAGATGACACAACCTTGCTTGCTGAAAGTGAAGAGGACTTGAAGCATATACTGATGAAGATGAAAGACTACAACCTTCAGTATGGATTGCATCTCAACATAAAGAAAACAAAAATCCTCATGACTGTACCACTCAATAAGCAACATCATGACAAACAGAGAAGACTGAAGTTGTCAAGGATTTCATTTTACTTGGATCCATAATCAACGTCCATGGAAGCAGCAGTCAAGAAATCAAACCATGTATTGCACTGGGAAAATCTGCTGCAAAAGACCTTTTTAAAGTGTTAAAAAGCAGAGATGTCACTCTGATGATTGCAGTGTGCCTGACCCGAGCCATGGTATTTTCAGTCACCTCATATGCATGCAAAATCTGGACAATGAATAAGGAAGACTGAAGAAGAATTGATGCCTTTGAACTACGGTGTTGGCAAAGAATATTGAATATACTGTGGACTGCCAGAAGAACAAACAAATCGGTCTTGGAAGAAGTACAGCTGGACTGTGCCTCAGAAGCAAGGATGACGAGACTTTATCTCACATACTTTGGACATGTTATCAGGAGGGACCAGTCCCCAGAGAAGGACATCATGCTTGGTAAGGTAGATGCTCAGCAAAAAATAGGAAGATCCTCAAGGAGGTGGACTGACACAGTGGCTGCAGCAATGGGGTCAAGCATAACAATGATTGTGAGGATAGTGCAGTACTGGGCAGTATTTCGTTCTGTTGTACATAGGGTTGCTATGTGTTGAAACCAACTCGACGGCACCTAACAACAACATATGTAGGTCCTGATTTTAAGCAACGTTAGCACAAACAGATATTACATGGTGCCTGACCTTGAGAGGCTGACCATCTATTTGGGAGAGATGGAACATATAAACAAGATAAACAATAAAACACTGTATATACTAAGCGCCAAATGAAAGCTATAGACAATAAGTGATTTGAAAATCTGAGAAGGCATCAATCTCCAAGGAGGGGGATTGATAAGATTATTGGGAAGTACTGTTCAAGTGGTAAATAGAGGCCAGACTGTTGAGGGTCTTGAGTATCAGACCCAGGGATCTTTACTTTATCTTATAAACAACAAAGAGCCATGGTTTTGATGAATCCACAGGCAAAAGGATCCATAAGAGGTAATTAAGAAAAAGTGAAGAATATTTAGGGGTTTATTCCTTATCTTTTGAAGTTTATTTTGAAGAACGAGACCCTCTCAGAAAACATCCCTTGATACCATAGCTACAGAATACTACAGTACCATAAATTTATCTATAACAATGTGGTGAACTGGAAATCATTTGGAATCAGACAGATCTGGATTCAAATCTCACTATTTACTAGCTATGTAACTTGGGGCAAGTTACTTAAACTGAGTTCCAGTTTCCTTATTGGCAAAAGTGGGACAACAATATCTTCTCCTGAGGGTTGGTGTAAGGATGAAATAATATATGTAAATATAAAGCAAAAAGTATAGTGTCTGGTATATAAAAACCAAAAGAAAAAACCCAAACCCGTTGCTAACAAGTTGATTCCGACTCATAGTGACCCTACAGGACAGAGTAGAACTGTCCCACAGGGTTTCCAAGGCTATATATCTTTACAGAAGCAGACTGCCATATCTTTCTCCCGCAGAGCAGCTGGTGGATTCAAACTGCTGGCCTTTTGGTTAGTAGCCAAGCACTTTAACCACTATGCCATCAGGGCTGGCATATAGTAGGTACAAAATAATTGTTAGCTCTCTTCCTTAAAAGGGTTATTTACAATGTGAATTATCTTATGTATTTGATTTAGGTTAGCCACAAACCAATATATTTAGCTACTTGTTAAATTAAAAGCCTTTTGGGGGGAAAATTAACTGAAACAATGGCTAAAATTGACTTCTGCAACTGTGATTTTATTTTTCTATGCCATCCCTATCTCTATTATTTTGCCATTCTTGTTGACATCAAACAAGTACTTTATAATTATCTGCATCGATGGAAAGAGAAAAAAAGAGTCATGCCTTGAGGTCCTTTATTTCCCCTCACACTTTATGTAATTTTGCTCTGCAGCTTCCATGTTGCTGTTGTTATCAGCTGCCGTTAAGCTGGCCCCCAACTTACGGCGACCCCATGCACAACGGAGTGAAATGCTGCCTGGTCCTGTGCCATTGCCACGATCTGTTGCAGATCAGACCGCTGTGATTCATAGGGTTTCACTGGCTTATTTTCAGAAGTAGATTGCCAGGCCTTTCTTCCTAGACCGTCTTAGTCTGGAAGCACCACCGAAACCTGTTCAGCATCATAGCAACATGCAAGCCACCACAGACAGCTGTGTGGTGGCTGCACTTGAGGTACACTGGCCAGGAATTGAACCCGGGTCTCCCACAAGGAAGGCAAAAATTCTACCACTGCACCACCAATGGCCCCTGTAGGATCCACAGGCCTTAACTATTTTTCTAACTAAAACTGTTATCTTGTCAAATATACCTATAGCTAATTTCAGAGAGTCTTGTCAGAAAATATTGATAAAAATATTGTCTTCCTTATTTGACCATGATGTTACTAGTCAGAATACTGACACTATGATGAACTGACGCAGTGAATCAGTCTTGGTGTCCAGAAGCTCCACTGCCTGAATCCAACCCAGTCTGTCACAATCAAGTATGATGCACTCTCCAGATTACTCTAGGAGTTAGGAGGAAACGTGGTGAGCCAAGAGCAGTCAGGTAAGTAGAATTTGAAGTGAAGAGGTGGAATTTTGAAGGTGCAGAACTAATATATAAATCTGTTATCATATCAGTCCCTTGACCTGTTTAAATACTGACAGCCTAAGATGGGAATAAGATTGCTATATATAGCTTCTGAGTTACTGATAAAAATGTTTTAGCTTTCTTTTCCTCCTGATCTAAAATTACATAAACATACCTTAAAAGTGGATTCTGCCTAAAATAGTTACTGAATTGAATACCTGAGCATCGAAGGGAATGGGCTAGTTCTGTTGCCATAACTTGTATGATCAGACCAATTCGAAGTCGAAACATTTCAGAAAAGAGGCCAGGCTGAGTCCGCATATACATGGCTAGATATACCATTATCTCCTGTACACAGAATGGATAGAGAAAAATTATGGCACAGATGTAACAGTGCCTATTTTGTGGTCTTAGAAAATTGTCAGATCAACTGAAAACAAACTTTAAAATGTAAGCTTTGCAACTCTGCTTACCTGGGTAAGGATGGACATGCTTATGTCTCCTTCACTGGCTTCATCTATCAGCTGAGTGAGTGCTTCATAGGGCAGAGGTCTGAGGAAGTAGACAGTGAAGAAAGACAAAATTCTGTCACTTTCTGAACCTGTTGTCATTGTTGTTAGGTGTCATCGAGTCGGTTCTGACTCATAGCCACCCTGTGTACAACAGAACAAAACACTGCCCGGTCCTGTGCCATTCTCACAATCTTTGTTATGCTTGAGCCCATTGTTGCAGCCACTGTGTCAAAATTACACCATAATTCAAAGGTGTCAATTCTTCTTCAGTCTTCCTTATTCATCATCCAGCTTTCACATGCATATGAGGTGATTGAAAACACCATGGCTCGGTCAGGCATACCTTAGTCCTTAAAGTGACATCTTTGCTTTTTAACACTTTAAAGAGGTCTTTTACAGCAGATTTGTCCAATGCAATGCACTGTTTGATTTCTTGACTGATGCTTTCATGGGCATTGATTGTGGATCCAAGTAAAATGAAATCCCTGACAACTTCAGTCTTTTCTCTGTTTATCATGATGTTGCTTATTGGTCCAGTTGTGAGGTATAATCCATACTGAAGGCTTTAGTCTTTGATCTTCATCAGTAAGTACTTCAAATCCTCTTCACTTTCAGCTAGCAAGGTTCTATCATCTGCATACTGCAGGTTGTTAATGAGTCTTCCTCCAATCCTGATGCCCCATTCTTCTTCATATAGTCCAGCTTCTTGGATTATTTGCTCAGCAGTCAGATTGAGTAAGTATGGCAAAAGGATACAACCCTGACACACACCTTTCCTGACTTTAAACCACACAGTATCCCCTTGTTCTGTTTGAATGACTGCCTCTTCATCTATGTACAGGTTCCTCATGAGCACAATTAAGTGTTATGGAATTCCCTGAACCTAAGTGTACTGAAAAAATAAAAAAAGTTCTTCCCAAGTCCAAGTCACTGCCTCAACACCTCATAAATACCAGCAGCATTCTGGTTCTTCCAGTGTTCCAAGTTTATAGCCTTAGGTAAAATCGCCTCTCCAAATTTCTTTGTCCTATGTCAACTCAAGAGAGCTCTTACTGTCCTTCTCTAAACCTGGATTATCCTCCTCCAAATTTTATTTAAAACTCACCCGTGATGTCCTTCCAGACTAGTCTTTCATGGTTGGTCCTTAATATTAGACAGGTAACTATTAAGCTACAACGTAATAAAGTAATTTTAACCTGTGCCTTTTGTAAGCCATTTTATTACTTTACATTCACATCTCACAGAGTTTATACAGGTAGTACCTGAGTTACGATGTACTTGAGTTAAGACAAACCACACTTATGACCGTCCATTTTTGTACATCTTATTGTTAGTAATATGGACTACATACAGTGTTGCAGCACATCATTTGCTGATGTTAGCATTCTCAGATGTTCACTTGCAGACGTTCAATTTTGTGATTTATTGTTCAAAACAATCAGGGGCTTCAGTTGCTTGAAAACATGGACCCAAATGCTGATCACTTTGCTAAAGTCAACAGATTTGGGAAGCAGTAAGATGTTACTACGAAACATATGAAGAAAAAAAGAAAAGGACCATACAGACAACTCTCACTAATTTTCTGGCTAGAAATACCATCCCCATTTCTAGGGATAATCCAGATGATCCAGAACCTTCCACAAGTGGACTTATTACAACTGACAAAATGCCATCATCATCCAACTTCATCGTTGAAGTAAATTTTTATGATTTGTGTATTTTTTCATGTATGTCTGTATGTATTAAAATATATCTCTAAGTTTATATGTAATGTTTCCAATCCCCAAAGACAAATAAAGATCAGATTTATAAAGATACTGACAACAAAAGACAATAATAATGAAAACTAAAAAAAAAAATGAGGTATTCGACTTATGTCAGAACTAATTTATGATGGAACCATCTGGATGGAACCCCATCTTAAGTCGAGAACTACATGTATTGATTTTGTATACTTTCATCAGTTTACACACATACAAACACACCACAATTTTGAGTCTCCTGTTGACACCGGGGGCATGGATCATGTCATCTTCTTCTTTTGGATTGCCCACAGTAGTCATAAAATTGGTGTGAGCTGTGACAAAATCTTCTGTTTACCAGAAACAAGTTTAGGACTATTTTCCTGAAAGCATAACTGGGACTTCACAGTTCCATGACAGACACACGGAATCTATGACACATGGTTCTAGGATTACTTTTTTCATGTATTTCAGAGCCTAGAGACATCAGAAATCATGGACATAAACCAGGAAGGAGACGGTATGCAGACATCAACAAAGGTATTCCTGCTCACTTCTTCCTTGTTTACTCCATATCTAGAGCATACTTTGTTTACAAAATAAACTTTTCACTACACTGGCTACAGAAGTATAACTGGCAGGTATGGGAAATATCCCTTGTTGTGTGTTGTTGAGTTGATTTCAATTCACAGTGACCCTATAGGACAGGGTAAAACTGTCCCATAGGGTTTCCTATGCTGTAATCTTTACGGCAGCAGATCAACAGGTTTTTCCTCATGCAGAGTGGCTGGTGGGTTTGAACTGCTGACCTTTCAGTTAGTAATCAAATGCTTAACCATTGCACCACCAGGCTCTTTAGTATGGGAAATAATCTTGTTTTAAATTACTCTTTAGTAGAAAAACAGATTTTTCAGATTACTTACGAACAAAGTTAGAATTCCTCTAAAACTATTTATTGGAAATATAGCCTACTTGTAGATTTAAATTTTGGCACTGACACAATATGAAATTAGACAGATTTAGTGTAGATGAGTTTTACTGGCATGACTAGTGGCAGAAGGAAGACTCATGTGTAAGAATTAAACTTTCCATTCCAGATTGTCACTCACCACTCTCCATCCATGCCAGTCATAGCCTATTCTAAGGCACTGTTTCCAACTGAAAGCTCTGGCAGAACTGAGACAGTGGTAATCTGATTATACAGTATTCTTGAAGGGGTGCTAATTCATTATGCTCTGCAAGTATCCATCCATTTTTTCCATTTTTGACTATGGCTTCCACCCACTTTATTCCTTCTTGAGCAGCATGGAGTTTCATCATCAGCCCTGTGTTCCAACTGGACACTTGTATACACCTTCTCTTTCCAGAGTACAGCTGACTTTTTGTGAGTGCTAATGCTAGTTATCAACACCCATGGAAACAGCAGTCAAGAAATCAAAAGACGCAGTGCATTGGACAAATATGCTGCAAAAGACCTCTTTAAAGTGTTAAAAAGCAAAGACATCTTCTTGAAGACTAACGTGTGCATGACCCAAGCCATGGTGTTTTCAATCACCTCATATACATGCGAAAGCTGGATGATGAATAAGGAAGACCAAAGAATTGACGCTTTTGAATTGTGGTGTTGGTGAAGAATATTGAATATACCATGGACTGTCAAAAGAACGAACAAATCGGTCTTGGAAGAAGTACAACCAGAACGCTCCTTAGAAGCAAGGATGGTGAGACTACGTCTCACATACTTTGGACGTGTTATCAGGAGGGATCAGTCCCTGGAGAAGGATATCATGCTTGGTAGAAGGTCAGTGAAGAAGAGGAAGACCCTCATCGAGATGGACTGTCACAGTGGCTGCAACAATGGGGTCAAGCATAACAACGATTGTGAGGATAGCACAGGACCGGGCAGTACTTCGTTCTGTCGTACGTAGGGTCGCTATGAGTTGGAACCGACTCTATGGCACCTAACAACAACATTGCTAGTTGCTCTGTTTGTCTTGTTTAGCTTTTCGAATGGGAAGATTATGAAAGTCAATAAGTAAAAAAAATCTGAGTTCTACTCCTTCTGAATTTCGTCTTTCATCTACTCATGCCCTATCATTACCAACATTCTCACTATGAGTGTCTCTGATAGAAGCACACACGTGTAGGAAGTTATCCACTGACAGATTAGGACAAGAGAACTGTGGTAAGCTCATAGGGCTCTTTAAAGGAAGCTTTATCGAACCCACTGAAAAACCATACTCACGCAGAGATGGTCTTTTCTCGAGGTTCTGGGGGGAGTCCCACTGTCAAATGTTTCTGGTGAGAGAGAAGGTCTGTGCAGGCCTAAGAAGAGATAGCATAACATCATTATCCTTCCCATAACACCTCAGATTCCCATGAAAATTTATCCTACAAACCTTTGCTCCTCTTCAACTTAATGACACATCAAACTCTCTTCCTAAGGAAATACCATGAAGATTAGAAAAGAGGGATTTCTAGAAGGAACAATGAGGTGTTTTTATCTCCTAGGAGGTAGGAACTACTAGCTTAGTGTAAATTCATTCTTAAGACATAGAACTCTTAGAGGTTATACATGTCTACACTTCTACAATTTTTATGGCTCAGTAATGTATATTTGTCATTCACAAACAGAAAGCTAACTGAATATCAGAAACTTTATGTGGGAAAAATAACATTTCAAATTATTAGAGGCTGTGGTTGCCTTAAGGAAAACAATATGGAAACCAATTTTTAAAAATCTCATACATTTATTGGTATACCCAGAATACTTAAAGAATTTATAGTACCTCATCAAGGGCCTCCACCTTCTTCCTTAAGATCCCAGAGATGTATCGGATTAGGCCCCAGTGTCGAATTTCTCCAACTTTGCCATATAGTTCAGTAAGAAGCTCTCTGACTGTAGCACTTCTTTCATCATACAACCCAGTATCCCAGTCAGGTCCTCTGGAATTTTACAAACAGGACTCCATTAATTATAAGCCTCCATCAACAATCTTTTATTTCAGTGTTATAATGGACATACCTGTTTTTTTTTTTTTAATAACCAGAAACTAAACCTGTTGCCGTCAAGTTGATTGCAACTCACAGAGACCCTACAGGACAGAGTAGAAATGCCCCATAAGGTTTCCAGGGAGCGCGTGGTGGATTCGAACTGCTGACCTTTTGGTTAGCAGCTATAGCTCTTAACCACTATGCCACCAGGGTCCCTGATTAGGAAAACAAATGTTATTTACTAAGACTCCTTGTAAAACTATGATGAACAGTCATTCCTGAAAGCCAAATACCTAGACAAGAATTAAGTCTTAGTTTCATCTATGCTTTGACAAAATGCATTCCTTTACCCTCTTCACAGGCTTCAACACAGCTGAAATTAAAGACAAAGATTTAATTCAACTCCTGAAAGTTTATAAAGTATGCTACACTTAGGGACTTAATGGAGATATAAGAAGGATATGTGTTTATTTTTAAAGGACACATATTCTTGTTGTAAAAATTACTATAATAGAAGTCAACCATGAAGGTCCATATAAGATAGATAAAGTGCTATGAAATGAGAAATTTAATATATGATAAAGGTGGATTAAACTATTCATTAAATGTTGCTAGGACAATCAGACAGCCATCTGAAGAAAAAAGTTGGCTCCATGCCTCATATGGTATAACAGAATTTCAAATATATCAAAAATTTACATGTAAAAGTACTAGGAAAATATATGGGAGAACTAGTTTATAACTTAGGAGGCAAGAAGACTTTTTAACTATGAAACATATACCAGAAGTCACGTATACGTAAAACAACAACAATAAAAATTCTTATTGTAAAAACCACTGTAAACAAAGTCATAGGACAAATTACAAACTGGGAAAAAATATTTGCAATTCATAGGCCAATTTCCTTAACATACAAAAAAAAAAGTCCAACAAATAGATAAGAAAATTAATAACAACAAAAGAAAATTTGGCAAAAAATATCCATGGCTTTTAAACATAGAAAAAGATGTTCAATCTCACTCATAATAAGAAAAATGAAAATTAACACTACATTGAACTAGTATTTTTCATCTATCTGGTTGACAAAAATCCTAAAATTTGATAACAGATACTCTCAATATATTGCTGGTGGGAGTAAAAATTGGGACAAAATCAAGGGGGCTATTTGGAAATATATATCAATACTAAAAATGCCTATATTCTTTGATTTAGCAATTCTGCTTCTGGTATATCTCTAGGATAAATTCCTTCCACACATGTCAAAGGATGTATTTATGCTATAAGGTTATTTGCTATAGCATTGTTTGTGATAGTGAATGACTAGAAACAACCCAAATGTCCATCAGTAGAAGACTGGTTAAATAAATTATGGTACAGTAAAACCTATGAAAGCCAGAACCTGTGTAAGGTGGAAACTTGTCAGAGAAGGAAAACAAATATTTTCCACTAAATCGAGCAATAGAAAAGTGGTTAAGACTACACCCTGTCAAAGGCAGAACACTTGCAAGACCTGGAAAAACAAGGCAGTCCCATTTAGTTCTGGCTCTCATAGGTTTCACTGTATATTCAAACAATGGAATGCTGTGCAATCACTAAGAAAATATAAGGTAGCTCTAGAGTGTGGCAGACTGTATTTTCCAAAATGGCTGCAACAATTTTCCATCCAACATGCTCTTATGACTTCGACACTCTTCCCATCAAAAGGTAGGGTCTGTGTTCCCTCCCTTGTAGCCCAGGCATGCTTGTGACTGATGCCATATGATTTCTGAGGTAAGGTCATATAAATTACTGCAGCTTCCACCTGGTCCTTTCTTTTCACTGTTGGAACCTAGTCACCATGCTGTGAGGAAGTAGAGAGACACATGGAGAGGCCATTTGTAGGTGGTCCATGCAACAGACCCAGCTGCGGTCCTAGCCAACAGGCAGCATCAATCCCCAGACATGAGTGAGTAAGCCTCGTCTGACTACAATCAAATGAGAAACCCTGAGTGAGAACTGCCTAGCTGAGCCCGGGCAAGCCCCATAAAACCATAAAAGATAATATAAATTGTTTTTATTTTTGTTATTTTAAGCCACTGAGTTTTGAGGGTGATTTGTTATACATCAATAAAAAAACAAAAAAACCCAAACCTGTTACTGTTGAGTCGATTTTGACTCATAACAACCCTATAGGACAGAGTAGAACCGCCCTACAGTGTTTCCAAGGAGTGGCTGGTGGATTCAAACTGCCAACCTTTTGGTTAGCAGCCTTAGCTCATAACCACTGCACCACCAGTGCTCCTATACACCAGTAGATAGCCAGAATATATATACAGTGATCTTCAACATACATACTTTGGGTGGAAAAAAGAAGGTGCAAAGCAGTGCGTATACTATGTTACCATTTGGGCAAATAAGGGTAAAAGTATACACATATATCTGTATTTACCTACATATGCATAAAATGTCCCTGAAAGGATACACACATACAAAAAAAAAACCAAAAAACAATAGCATTGATTGCCTGTGAGGAAGGGAACTGGGTATCTGGGGAACAGTTGTGCAAGACTTTTCATCCTTTCACTGTATATTCTTTCGTACTTTAAAACTGTGGAACCATAAGAATGTATTACCTATTCAACATATTAAATTTTGAACGAACATGAAATAAACTGTGCTAGAGGAAGAGTCATCAATGAATGCAAAAACCAGTGGGTGAAAGTTCGAGGAGTAACAGGATATTTATGTAGTCTCAAAGTATGTCTCCAAAAGATATTCTTTAATCACAAAGGGTAAAATAATAACTTTACAGTGGAGGAACCTAGAAGATACTACCTTAACTCAGTGATCAAACCAAGAGATCAAAGTTAACACTACCAGCAATGGGACTAATCAACAGTAGGTGCCTCATGATATGACACACTGAGAACTCAGTATCACTTTGGTGGTATTCCTACGAAAAATCCGTAACTTTAATTATAAGGAAACATGAGACAAAGCTAAAGCGAGTGATAGTCTACAAAATCACTGGCTTGTGTTCTTAAAAAATGTCAACAACATGAAAAATATGATTCAGGAACTGTTCCAGATTAAAGAAGGCTAAAGACACGAGAAACTGAATGAAATACATAGCTTTAGATTTGCTTTTGCTATAAAGACATTATTGGGGCAATTAACAAAAATTTCAGTAAGATCCGTAGACTGTAATTTTTTTAAATTATTGTGATAAAATGTATACAACAAACATTTGTGATTTTAATCATTTTTAAATGTACAATTCAGTGACATTAATTCCATTCACTGTGTTGCACAACCATCACAACTGTCCATTTCCAAATGTTTTTCATCACCCTAAACAGGAACTCAGTATCCCTTAAGAAATAACGTCCCATTTCTCCATCTACCCAGACCCTGGTAACCACTAATAACCTACTATCTCTATGAATTTGCCTATTCTAGATATTTTGTATAAATGGGATCATACAATATTTGTCCTTTCGTGTCTGATGTATTTCATTAAGCATACTGTTTCAAGGTTCATTCATGTCATAGCATGTATCAACATTTCATTTCTCTTTATGGCTGAATAACACTCCATTGTATGGATACCACATTTTGTTTATCCATTCATCTATTGATGGACATTTGAACTGATTCTTCTTTTGACTACTGTGAATAATGCTGCAGTGAACAATGGTACACAAGTATCTGAGTCCCTGCTTCTAAGTCTCGTAAGTATATACTTAAGAATGAAATTGTTGGATCACATGGTAGCTCTTATGTTAAACTTTTTGAGGAATCATCAAACTATTTTCCACAGTGGCTGAACCATTTTACATTCTCGCCACGAATGGAGGGTTGCAATTTTTCTACATCCTTGCTAACACATGTTGTTTTCTGTTTTTCTGATAATAGCCATCTGTGATGGTTAAGGTTGTGTGTCACCATGTCTGGGCCATGATTCTCAGTGGTTTGGCAGTTATGTAATAATATAGTTTAGCAATTATGTAATAATATAGTCTGACAGTTATGTAATGATGTAAATATCCTAGCTCATCATCATGTGACCTCCAGTTCTTGGGACTTGAGCCAGCAGCCTGCTGTATTGCCTGCCAATCTTGGATTCATCAGCCTCTGCAGCCCGTGAGCCAGCAGCCTGTCATCTGACCTGCCGATCTTGGGTTTATCAGCCCCTGCAGCTATGTGAGTCAGGAGAAGCCTCCAGCCTGACGTCTGACCCATGGACTTGGGACTTGCCAGCTTCTATAAATGTGTGAGCCATTTCCTTGAGATAAATCTCTCTCTCTATATATACCCATTTCACTGGTTTTGCTTCTCTAGAGAACTCAGCCTAAGACATTTAGTACTGAAAGTCATTCTAGAGAAACAAAATTGTAAAGATGAGTTTTCTAAATTGGTTATCAAGTCTGGTTAGTCTTAAAGATGTTAATGACTTTGCTTCCAGTAGTGAAGAAAGCATTGCTAATCCCTGGTATGAGGTGGCAATAGAAATATACAAAATATCACTACCAATAGGTCAAGTATCGGTGAGAGGTGAGGCTCTGGATTATCACATGTAAGATCCCTTTCTATAATTCTGTCATAATGAGAAGTATAAGAAAGCTGGTTTGTTGGTCCTACTTTCGCTAGGCAAAGCGGAGAAAGAAAGAGACGAGCTCAGGGCTTCAGAGTCTCAGCTCAAGCGCTGCATAAATGACCTCAAAGTTGCTATTCGTGCCCTGAAAGAAAGCCTTATTTCTTGTAGTAACAGAGCTGATACTGCCGAAAACCAAACCCAGAGTCTTATCGTAAGAGTGGCTGAATTACAATGTTAACTGAATTCCCAACCTTGAATGGTGTCTGAAGTTAAAGTGATGGCATTGATTGGAAAGAAATGGGATCCTGAAACTTAGGATGGGGACATATGGGCAGATAATCAGGAAGCTGGGGACAATGAGCCCCTAAATTCTGTT